GTATTATCCAGACACCCAAGAAACCAGGCCCTGTCTCTCACCTTTCCCAGCTTCCCATGTGTGCCTTCACTGAAGAAAACATTTTGCCTACTTCCACACCCTAAAATCTGTGACATTTGAGATGTCCCCATGGGAAATGTCCCCCACTGCAGTGAGGATGTTTGTCATTACATTATAAAGCCAGTGATGCTGTCAAACCAGAACAGCTCTCGTCTTCTTCCATGATGTATTTAGACAGGAATAATAATATATCTATCATTATACACATCAGGGTGATTATCTACAGGGACAGATAATTTTGTTCTGTTGCCTACATAATTAAGGAACACTTCTGGCAGCAAAGAGATCCCAGTTCATATCTTTTCTTACTGAGGTTGTATTATCTTGTTACCTCCTTGAAGATGTTGGTGTCAAAATCATTTTAAGGACTCCAACCCCACCATCTGACCCCGCTGCACGTTAATGCACCTCACACCGGGCACCACCTCCCTTGTACCACACTGCCCACGGGGGCCAGGTTGTAAATCTGCCCTCAAAACTGATCCCTGTTAAAAATAATCTCCCCAAAAATAGAAGAGTGAAGGAGTAAGGGTTACCAGGGTTATTTTTAACCTGTGCTGGTTCAATGGTCTGATTTACACCGGCGAGCCAGCGGAGGTTTTTTTGGCTGAGCGCGGGTGGCACATCACACTGTGGAGGAGAGGGAAGGGATGGCTGTGGGCACACGGGGTGCTAAGCTGGGCTTTGAGGCTGAAGCCAGCATGTGGTAAAGGCTGGCCTCAAGGACACCACTCAGAAACCAGAATAAAACTATTCAGAAGCAGTGGTAGTAGGAGATTCAAAATAACTACAATGGAGCAGTGTAGTAATAAATAGAGGAGGACCAAGAGACCTGCAGACAATTTCATCAACACCCTAAAAATGATCACATCTCTTCTAAACAGCCTTAATCTAGAGAGCCATAGGCTGGATTCATTGCCCTGTTATTCTGCCCTTCAGTAGCTAATACTGTGATTCGACTACTTTTTGAACACCATCTTGCTGAATTTATAATGGTATTTTCAAGAGGCATCTTCCTCAGCTGAGTCCAGACCAATTAAATATAGGCAGTTGGAAACCCTGCCCAACTATTTTTAACATTTCATTAAAACCTGAGAATTATAAAGGGACTATGACCCAAAGTGAAGAGGTTTTATTTTGTAGCTTGGTTCAGTTTGGTTGATCACGGTGTGTGAAATGTTGATGTAACGATAACATTTCCCTCCCTCTTCTAAAAGTAAGAGCAAAAGAAAGTGATGAGAAAAGGGCCACTATTTTAGTTGGTACTGGGGATGAAGAAAATATCCTAACCACTGTCTGGTATGCAGAAGAGGAATAAAAATATCACCTTTATAACCCAGCTAACCCAACATCACTTGACATTTGAGACAGATACACAGCTAGTCTGAATTACTGAAACTACTTCTGAGGTTGATTTTTGACACTGAAAAAAACACACATAAAATTGTGCTGAGCTAAATGCATCAAAGGACAATAGTGATGGAAATGCCATTTGGAGGCTTCAACTACACATTTACCTACTAAATACTGCAATATTTTAAAACACCAGCACGATTATGTGGACAGAATTCTTTTCAGTCAGTACTACCCTGTTCCTTTCCCCATATGCTACTACTTGTATTCAAGAAATCTAACTTCTTAATACCAAGTGTGCTGAATTAATAGATTTCCAACATACTCAATTTCCAGCTTTGAAGGGAATGTTTAACCTAGCATTGCACTGTACCATTATTTTTAACTCAAGCTGTTGGGTTTTTTAGGTTTTTTTTTCCATTCAGAACAATATGGTCTACACAAATGACACACATTTCCTTTAAGTCAAAAACTGCAAAAGCAAACAGATGGAGACACAGACTAAGAAAAGAATTAGAATATCAGAATACAAAAGTTGCTCTTTGAATCCTAGATTACATGTGGAGCCAGACTCCTGTATTAGCATCTCACTGTTAAAGCTCCTATATTTTTATTTACGTTCTGCTGCCTTTCACACTACAGTGACCCTTGCTGTTTGGAAATCCAAATTCTAGCTCCACCTGTGCAACAGGGAATTATAAACACAGATTTTGGGGTGTATTTTAAACTTCATTCAAACTACTCTTCCATGTACAGAAGGAGGCCTTGTGTTCTAAAGAAGATCTCCTGTAGCTGGAGAAGAAACTCCACGATCCTAGTGCTGATCCCTGTACGTCTGTGCATTGCCTTCTGGAGAGCTTGGTAAATTAATGTTTAGGAAAAGGGCATTTAAAGAGAAGCAAAACAGCCTTGTATTTAGAAGAGCATGGTGCTAAGTACTTCCAGTCCCCAAAGGACATCCCCTCGGTAAGGCATTCTACCTTCCTGTTCTTCCTACAGCAGAGAGGAGCAGCATCAAACACGATCCTGAGGAAAGTATGTCCTCAAAACAGCTGAAAGAGGATTCCCCAGGAAGAAAATGGAAGAGGCAGAAAGCAAGTTCTACAACCCAAAATAATCAGCATCACACAGGGCTAATACTGCTAAAAATTGCCCTCCCTCCTCCTACATCCATACTCTAGATAGGAAAAGTTCACCTGCCAGTTTATGAAATTCTTCCCCAGAGGAAGAAGTAGATAATCAAGATTTCCTTAGATATGAAGCATAACTACCCACAAGGATATTCTTTCCACTTAGAGAAACTTATTTTTCTTCAAAATACTTTTAATTAATCTGTAACAAAGTCAAAATTACTTTTATAGCGGTACCCAAGGATTGTGATTTCTGACACCACGCACTGAGAGCTGGCGTCTAAGGACACTCCAGACCTTAACTTGATTTAAATCACGTAATTAAAATGTAGGTTCAGTTTTTCATCCACCAAAGGACTATAACCTACATTCAAACTCAGAAATCAGAGACATATTTGCTTATGTAATCACCCAGGGCAGAGAGAGCCAACAATAGTCCTTCAGCATTTGTGGCTAATGCACATCCAGTTTAAAACCTCAGCCCTACAAACATTTACATATGAAATAGTTAATCATGCCAATGAAGGAAGCCACTAGTCAAAGTTATGCACACGCCTAAAGCTCTGTAGACTCAGGGCTTAAAAATTTAAGACAATACCTTTGCTCAGAGAAGAAAAACTAGTTTTATGGGAGCACTGTTATTCCTCAAGTTGTGTGTCATTCAACACAAAGACTCTTCATTGAACTTGAAATTATTTATGCACCTTTTAAGTATGTTTCTGTTGCTTTAGACATCAAGGGTTTGCTGTCATGTATCCTACCAGATGTAATATATAGTGAATATTAATTTCTATATAAAAACCAGTAAATGTAACACATACATATTTGGTTTGTTCACTTACCCCTACACAGTTACCCCTTGCTTTCAGAGAAAAGAAAAATTTAAAAAACCTCACTGCACTCCAATTGAATGGAAGAAAAAAAACCCTCCAAGATAGAAGAGACAAGGCAAATCAAGCATTTCAGTACAAGGTAGGTCACAGGAACTTGTTACAGCATTGTTACAGCTCACAACCTGAACTATCACAAACAATGGCAGCAGGAGAGCTGTGGGCACCCAGCCAGTTTAGGAGCACATGGGGTAGAGTAAGGAACCACTGCCCTCTCTCTCTGATATTCTCCTAAAACTATATTCAAAGCTTGAGGGGTTTTTTATGCCCCTAGTAGTGAGGATCATCCATGAAGAGACCAAGTATCTCCATGGAAAACACTGTAAAATGTGTAAATTAAAATTGTGTCACACTGAAAACCTCAAAATATCCAATTTATCTAAGATGTTTTAAGACAAAATGACAACTACTACATTTTATATGCTAGAGAAGAATTAAACACCCTCTCCCCCTCCATCAACCTATCTGCACCTGCTGAACTTTGACTGGATTTGAAGATTACAATGCAGTATTTCCAATTAGTTGCTAATACCCCATGACTTCTGCCTTGTACACAAAGTCTGGTTCTGGTTGTTTGGTTCTTCCCTTTTGATAAAGGCTGACAGGTGGAAAAGGCAACTGTCACTGGTTTCACAGAGTAGTTTGTTCAATAATATTTACAAATCAAGAGTTACAAAACTTTGCTGTGGTGCAAACTATACCCCATCTTACTATTATTTGCACTTGCACTTTCATTTCAAGCATCTGGTCAGTCCTGGACGGACAAAAAATTCTGGTGTAAATGAATCATGATTCTGATGTATCACCATAAATCCCCCCTCAGCCCCCTGGAACAGCGCACAGAGAGAGAAATACCAGCTTTAAACACTCCTGTACTGCTGCAAATATAAGGTACTTCATGGTAATTAATAAAAATATCTTCTCAGTGTTGAAGAGTTCAGTGTTTGCAAACTGCATTTTCATGGGCTTCTGCTACTTAGCCTGGTTGAGATACAGGAGAAATTAATCACAGTGAGTGGGCACAAAGTTATATCATCAACCAAATAATTATCCTTTGTGCATTTACTCTGGGTCTGCTGGCACCTTGAATGATTAACTAGGGCTGGGAGGGCTGAGGCAAGGACGTGTGCGTGGAGCCTCTGCAGCAAGTCTGGCTGACACAGAGCCTGAATCAGCAAGAAAACTCCACTGTTCTTCCAGAGGGGAGAGATTCAGTATCACTAAACACCAGCTAATCATCAACAGAGGGTTGAGTGTATCTTCACTCCTTCTGGGCAGGGCAATTCCTGACCCAAACTCTACACACAGCACCGTCCCTCTTAACCCTGGAGCTGAGAGTTTCATAGGGCACAAAAGGCACAGAGAAGCAGGCAAGGGTCTCTGCATTCCTAAAGCATCAGCTGAATTCTGGCTGTGTCCTTACACACTTACTTCACTAGCACTGACCAAAGGCACCTCCTGCAGTAATTCCCAAAGAGCAACCCACTCTTTTGGGGCAATATTTACTCCAGTGCAGTGAAACACAATCATCTGCAGAAAGGCCTGGCCGCAGCCAGGAGTTACTCACCGGTGGGAAATCGAAGTCTATCTGGTTGGCTAAATTTAAGATGTAGTCGATTCGAAACTGGTTCTCTGGGTTGGCTAGTTCCACTGGAGGGGCCAAATTGCCCATTGCTGTGACTATTGTCTGCAAAGACAAAAAAGTAAAATGCTGCAGAAAGTGTCTAAATAGCCACTCTGAACAAGTAAAAACAATGGCTCCTGAGCTTACCTCTATAGCTTCTTTAATATTGTTTTTAATATCCTGGATTTTCATTTTCTTCTCCCTGTAATGAAAAGATACTTTATTAAATTCAGAAGTCACAGAAGCTGAACACCTTTTTAAAACCGAACCTGAATTTGAAAAATACTCTATCGAAATTTTATTGTCCCTATTGGCTGAAGTGCTTTCAGTCACTGAAGACTTTTATAGAGACTTGATTAAATATCTCAAAACTTCTCTACTTTAACAGTAGCATCTATTTGCATCCAAAAATCAGCATCTAATTATGCCTAAATAAAATGCATTACAGCCTTAGACTGGGATTGAGACATTCTGCAAAATCAAACAGATTTTGATTCACCTGAATGCAAACACTACACCGGAATGAAAGTTCTTTACAAATGTATAAACCAGAAACAAACAGAAAGAAAAAAAAAAGGGTAAGTTATTGAAAGCAGAAACAAATGAAAGGAGATCAAAGAACCTCAAAGTACAAAAAAAAATTAAAGCATTAAAGCACAAAATGATGCCACAGCAGAACAGGTACAAGAGCAGAGAGCTCAATCTGACAGAGACATTCAAACCAACAGTTTGGATACAAAACCTAAAATAAATAGTAAAGGGTTAATCCAAGTATGTAAAATTACCTCGACTACAAGGAGAAGAATAGGTTAGAAAACCACTTGGAAAGAGCACTATCATTTGGGATTAACTGCAGTCAAATTAACAAGCCTAACAGGCTGAAGCAAGAGTGCAAACCATTGCTCTGTTGCATTTTTATTGGATTTAGTGTCAAATCTGATAACAGCTACTTTCAGTGCTAAATAGTGCAGTCCAGTGAAATGCATGATCCAACATTTGGTACAACCAGGAATTAGCATTACTGGTATTGAGTCTGTAAACTGTAACTTAATTGCAAGGCATTATGACAAAAATTTTACATTATTAATTTCTTGCTGTACACAGCATAAAATTATTAGTTTGAGGTAAACCAAGTTAGTCATGTCATTACTAAAATAACCCAGCTGAATCGTCTAAGTGACCTTTTAATCTTCATTAAACTGTTTTTATAAAACACTTCCATTATCTGAATATTTATACCAACTTTTAATTTTTTTTTCCTTTTGAAAACTAACATTTTCCAACTCAGGATCCCAGAAACTTTGAACTACCAACAGCACGTTTCCTTTTTTCACCCTTTTAAAGGTAGTAACTCACATTTTTGGCTTAAAGACCACAGCTTGAATATCTCACTTTACTGAGTTAATTCAGCAAACGTATTGCAGAGGCTTTTTGTCACTTTTTCCTTCCTATAATTATTCACAACCAACAACCAAAACGAAACTGAAAGCACATTCACCCATCAGGAATGCAGAAGAACAGCAGCAAAAAAAAAAAATTAAAAACCTACTGCTTAAATAAGGAGGCAGACACAGACATCCAGGAATGGTGGGAATCCTGGTTATCAAATGAAAAATTAATTAAGCTTCTTTAAAAGACAGGGTCGAGGAAAACCCCCCCTCCCCGTGGCAGCCGCACGTTCCGCTGCCTTTCAGGCACAGGCGTGGAGGATCCGATCCTGCATTCCCCACTTGTGACAGAATGATTGCAATGCCAGTGCTGCTCTTACACATGGAAAGCAAACAGCAGCATCAAATCATCTGGTTCAGGATGACTTGGCTGTGGAGAGGACGGGTCTGAATCAGCAGCAGAGCTCTACCAAGAGAAACAGGATTATCCCCAAACATCAGCTCCTCGTCGCTGGCCACGTGCCCTCCACAGTTTGGGGAGGAAGGTCAGGGGAGTCTGAGGTAGCGAGAAAATGAAATTATCGATAATCAGATGGAAATTCTTGGGTTTCCCTCGACTTCTTCACCTACCTACAGACCACCTTATTCCTGAAGATTACCTGTTTTTTGCTTTACACATTTGGCACCACTGATGAGAACAAGGCAGTGACCCAAGAAAGGCCAAAAGCACCAAATTAAGGAAAGTAAATAACACAGGAAAAGAGAGGAAAAACTGAGGGCTTTTCACCCTCTTTCTTCCTATTCTCAATGCTTTCTAGGTCTTAGGAAACTCTCTGTTCCACAACCAAGACTTAGGGTAGGTGCAGAAATCCTGTATTTTTTAGTTGGTACACATATGATTGTAAACCCATCATCTGCTTTCTGTTTTTAAAAACCATGTTTCATTATTAAAAATATGTAAATAGTGGCATGAAAGCAGGAAATGTTTATCAATGAGAGTGTAAGCAATTTGTCTGGCTTTATTTTGCCTCCAATTTTCAGCTGGATCTTCAACTTAATGAACATGTAACCAGACTGTGCCCCACTGAGATCAAAAGGGCAATGGATATGCTAAAAGTCAAGCAAGGTATCAGTATTTTTAAAGAATTATCAGTCATTTTGCTTCCGTTTGGAATATCATTATAAAGACAGAAGTTTAGGAAGTTCTGTTGTTTTTAAGCAAATCGTGGTTATTCTCCCTCCCCTGGAACACTTGGGATTAACTGTCTCAAAGCATCAGCGAGGTGCACATTTACCTGACTCTACAATAAACCACATTATTTTTATTATAGGTTTCAGTCAAACTTCCACATTTACACCTCTTGGTTGATCCTCATGCTCCTAACAGCACTGCAAAGTGATAATGAATATGGAGAAACATTAAACTCCAGCAATTAACAAACTGCTCGATAACCATCATCATCTTTACAACAAGGATACTCAGAGTTCCTATTTCTGGTGGTGTTGCCATGGCCCTATAGCCTGCCCAGTAAACAAGGAATCCTATTACACAGCAGTGAATGTATCACTGCGTTTTGTGTTTTGTAATGTTTACTAGGCATAAACTTTCCATGACAATGAGACACTTTATTCTTCTGGAACTCGACGTGTTCATCAATCACCCATCCAACAGCAGCTTGAATACAACTGTAACTTCTCACCAAGAAAAAAACAAAACTAAGGTGACAGTCATTTTTACTCAAGGACTGATGAGGTGCAGCACACAAAAGCTACAACCCTTTGCCTTCCTAGAACTATGGTTTTGTTTTGTTTCGTTTTCTTTTTGTTTTTTCCAGAAATGCCACCCAGGTTGCACCTCAAATTTCCAAAAGTGCTCTATTTTCCCCAACCAGAAAGACTCAATATTCAACTTAGAAACAGATTCTTGCTTTATAAATTTCTTATTCCCAGGTGCTGGATATAAAAACTACGAAAAAAGAAAAAAAGCTGGGTTCCCAAAATGTTTTCCTCTGGAAGATCCCAAGGAGATCGGGAATGGCACTGTGCTACCCTGGCTAACACAAGACTGATGTCTCTGCAGGCCTGTTCTGTATCTTTAGATGCCGTGGGTTAATAAGGTCATATTTTTAATCTTGTTTAAAACTTTTGCTTAGGCTGTGTAGGGTAGGCCAAACAAAGCATTAAACTCTATTAGTTGAGGATTAGAAGAAAAATCTCAAATCCTGCTGTTTTCAATATTTAAATGGGCCAGAGCAAGGCTGCACATAGCTTTCAGGAAAACTAATAAAGTCTATTTTAGGTACTATAAAAAAAAAAAAAGATGACATTTTAATTCAAGTAACATTAAATCGGAATGACATAAAAGGTCAGGAAAATCAAATATTCCTTGAAAACCAACCTAATCAGTATTTAGTAAAGAACTTCTACACCTGTGGCTGAGTTTTACTTTTAAAAAGGCAACATTTTTACTCAGATTTTATCAAATCTAATGCAAAGAACACATTACCAAACAGATTGTCAGAAAGCAAACTAATTTAATTTTAATGTTCATTTTTGGTTTATTTTCCAGATAATATGAATAACCATTAATTGAAGAAAAATATTTAAAGTTTAAAAAGAGCATTCCAGAGGATGAGGATTCAGTTCACCCTGAATGCTTCTACATCTCATAGGTAGAAAAATAATTTTTAAAAAAGGTGCTGAAATGAGTGGCCAAAACAAAGTATGTTAAAGAATTGAGGGGGGATACAGATGGACAAATGGAGGGATGACAGGACACAATCCCTTTGTGCCACTATTCTAAATTTCTAAAAGCAAAAAAGTTTGAATTCTTGGTCACTGCTGACAGGTTAAGAAGTCCAATGCCTTCTTGAAAGTCCTGTAGCTCTGGAAAGTACATACAGTCTGTTTTAATAGGGGATATTAAAATGTAATCACGTAGTTCTTTACAAGGTTGTAAACAGCCCAGCTTCCATCACCTCCAGTGATCGGTGTCACGCAGAAATTACCTTTATTCCTGAAGCACTGTCAAACTTCCCTCACTCCCAAACCTGCTGACACAACAACTCCAGGGAGTGCAAAGCTTCCCTTCGCTGTGGAAAGCACTGCAGTTCAGTGAGTCAGTTCACAAGTGTCAGAGCCAGAAGAAAAAAAATCTTACAAAACAATCCGTTTGCTTCTGGGCTTTTTATAGGAGCAAACGTGGAGCACACACGTGCATCTCCCTGTTTTCAGGTATTGCCAACAAATGGGAATGCCCAGGGAAGTAGCCACGGGCTTTTGCTCACCTTCAAAGGCCCATCATAATTCCACATTGAAGCCAACGTCAAGTTAATAGATCAATTTTGTTTTCAAACACAATTCGGTTCTTTGACAGGCAGTCATGCACTTCACAGGCATGTCAGCTTTAAACGTGTCTATCTGTCTAAATACGGTATCTTTGATGCAGTGAAACATCTGATGGATTTCATAAATATTCCATGAAATCTGCATTAAAATTTGTTTACTGCACCTTATGGAAGTTAACAGAAATGCAAACAGCACTACCTGCCAATCCACCTCAGAGAAACAGAGCTGTGCAGTCGAGATCTTCACACACAAGACCACGAGCAAGGAAATTCAATTAAGGTTTTGCTACCAATCCACATTACAAAAATCCCGCAGTACTTCACAATTCAACAAAGAGATAAATTTGGGTTAGCAGCCTGAGTTATTTCTAACAGAACATGCAATTACCTCAAAATATAACAGCTAGAATGGCAAACAGGGCAGAGGCCAAGTTAGAGGCACTTGAAAATGGGGAAAAATAGTTGCC